AGAGAGAGAGAGAGTAAGAGAGATGGAGAGCAAGAGAGGCCCAGCAGGAGGGGGTTTTTATAGCCCAAATCTAATGGGGTCTCTGGGTCTATAATGCCTTGTTGGCACACAAGGGGGTTAAGTGTTTGGCCTTGAGCGGCAGGCTGAGTGTTCAGCCTTGAGCAGGGGGGCAAAGCGCGCGGGGCTTGGGTGTTTGGGCTTGAAGCAAACAGGTGATAAAGAACCAGACAGGGGGTTTGAGTGGCCATGTCATCCTGCAGCTAACTTTGTTAGGCATGCCCTGCAGACAGCTTACTCAGCCTGTCCTGCACCTAACACTACCCTCTGTTCTTTCTTCTTTTGTTATTGTATTTTGATGAGTAATTATATATTAAATCAACTGTCATCAATGTTTCTATGAGAAAATTTTAAATACAAAACTTCAGAGTAACTTTATTACGAATACACCAGGTATATATGTGCTTATAATCCCAGAAAAAAATCTTTGAGCTTTTCCTAATTTTATCTCTGCAGACTGCATTTTCCAATGCTGTGAAAAAAAAAAAAATAAGAAAAAAGGAGACTTGTTATAGTCGTGTGTGCAATATGCTTATTGGATGCAGCCAGATGGTTCAACCTGGGTTTATGGAGACAAGGGAAGCTCATTGAGTTGAGCCCCAAGGGTCAGGGAGCCCCTGAGGAATCTTCTGCCTTGACCACAAGATGCCCAGAKGTCCACGAGGTAGCTTCTGGGCACAGACTAAGGGTGTCTGTCCTTGAGAATCCAGTATGCTAGAAGGCTTGGTTAGACTCTCAAGTGCCAAATAGATGCTCCTTAACGCCTTATTGTGCACTCATTCCTCTCTGAAGTTCCTGCACTGAGATGGGGCAGATCCCTAGCTGGACTTCATGTGCCCAGAGACCTAAAACCCCATTACTAAGGCCTTATGCAGTGCTAAGGAGAGTAGCGGAAGCATGGGTAGCCCGTGTTGGGCCTAACTGACTAATGAGTAAATGAAAAGTAAAAGAGTGACCTCCTACACGGATTAAAAAAAAAAAAAAAAAAAAAAAAAAAAAAAA